GAGGAATCATCCCAGATGAATCACCTCTTTCTGCAGCTATCTCTTGCCTCTGCCTGCGATTGTCTGTGTTTGTGGGCCTGGGTGGCTTGAGCTAACATCTTGGACCTCGCTTGGACCCGATATCATCGCAATTCCGTGCAAAATTCTTCGTAGGGCCCGAGTTGAAACCAGAAGTGAAAAAGAGCACCCTGTTGCACAAGCTGCATCGCAAACATGTGATCCAGCCAAATGTTGCTGAGCAGCTGGACCAAGAACAGAAACTAGCACTACGTGCGCCCGCCGAAGGCAGCCAAGACAACACGTAGGAAAAGTTGCTTCGAGATGCAGTAGGGGAATGTATTTCAAACAAGCTTTCCAAATCTACAAGACACTTATTCGATGAATAGTGAACCATGGCGTGCCATGCGGTTTTGGTGCCAGAAACATGTTCACAACATTTATGGTGAGCTCCTTCAACATATGGTGTTTGAAATCCCCTGTGCCATGCGGATCTGGGATGCAAACCCATGTTCTTGATTACAAAGAGCGAATACAATGTTAAACCACTTCTATGGCGGTGTGCCATTGGGATTGTCAACCAAAACATAGAAAAATCATGTCATTTTTGATCGGGTTTTCTAGGTGTGCCAATAGGGAAAACCTGTCGCAAGGACTTTTGCAAGGACCCGCGAGTGCCTTGCTGATTTGCATAAAAATTGATGACTTGCAAGGACTTTAGCATTTGAGAGTAGCGGTATCCAGCTCTCTAGATCTCTCTTTGCTTGTCCCCATTCAGTTGTTTCCCCGTCTGCCTAGCAGTGTCCGGCTCTGCGGATGTCTCTCTTCACTTGTCTCCCTTCATTTGTCTGCCGGAGTACCTTGTGGTGCCCGGCTTTCGGATGTCTTTCTTTACTTGTCTCCATTCATGTGTTCCCAATGTGCCTAGTGGTGTCCGGCTCTCTGGATGTCTCTCTTTTTGTAGGAACTCTTGCAGAGCTGCTTTGTTTTAACATCTTCAACTGGCATTTTTGTGGGAAGTTTAGTAATTTTTGCAGTTTCAACCTCCATTTTTGCAGGCCGTTGCTTCGGTTTTACATCTTCAATTTGAATCAGTTTGAAATTGCGTAGGAAGGCTCACAGAATTGCGTCGTTTTGATCGATAAAATAAAGCGGCAGATAGACAGGGCAGAGACATAGACACATAGACAGAGATAGACACAAAGATGGAAAGATAGATGGATACTAGTAGAAGGCAAAATAGATAAATGGATGGCAAATAGATGCTAATAGATGCTAATAGAAAGTTCGATAGATAGTTGGATAGATGTGTTAAAACACAAAGGTGATGTGTCACTGATGCAGGCAGTTGGCTCTTTGATGTTTTCCTCTGATGGAACTGCTCAAGGCTAACTCAATGATGACTCAAGGGCCGTGATGAGCCCAGATGTCATGGACACTCGATGTGTCTCCGATATGCCCTGCATGATGTACATAAGGATGCATGTATGTTAACACGCCCCTTGGCATAAAGATGTCTCAATCTTTGATGCCACAACTGATGCTAACAATCTGTATAACGGAAACTGATGTTAAAGTACGATCACTACCGATGGTGCTCAGAAAAGATTCATAAGCAATAGATGGCTACTTTGATGCACAAAAGTCTGTACAGTTGATGTCAATTACATCCTGAGATTACTTCCCCGGATGTTTCTCTCGGTCTTGAAATTTCCATTTGCCTCTCAGATGGTCTCTTCGATCTCATCCATAGTATGAAGCAATGAAATTGCGCAAGAACAATTTTGATTGAGTGGTGGCTGTGGAATGACGTGCAAGTGAAACTCGTTGCTCAGGATGGCAGTGCGCAACGCATGGATTTGCATGTTGGTTTGATTGCATTGCTCACAACAGTAGTGTGCAACGCATGGATTTGCATGTCGATTTGATTGCGTCCGTTTGCCATTTTGGCGAAAAGTTCAGCTGCTGTCGCTCAGCCTGGTGCCATGCTAGGGGAACTCTTGCCATGTGTGGGTTCTCTTAGCTTCCTGCTGGGCCTGTGTCTGGGCCGATTTCTTTGGCGTGATCATCAAGTGCTAGAACCGAAGCCATTGATACTTGGCATCGTCCCAACGGTTTCGGAGTTGGCCAATCTCACTACGATTGAAGAGGTGCGCACGTGGGCAGGCTGTGATCAGGCTACCTGGACGGCTGCAAGTGACCATTTGGGTTCCATCCCTTCTTTGCAATACTTGGCCTTGGTCCTCTCAGATATGTTGAAAGCTATGTTGGAGCGGGTGCGGATCCCAGTGAACCGGCCGGCTGGGGCCACTGTTGATCCTCCTCCACGCAATGCCGCGGCGGTTGACGTTATCCAGTTGGCGGTGATGTGGCGGGTTGCCAGGTTGGCCTATCAGCTTCCTGACATTGACACCTCGGCACCCACTCCGGTGATTCTAGCACCAAATCCAACAAGTCCCACTCCAAATACTGAAACAAAGAAGGTTAGGTTGTCTGTTCACTTGGATCAGATGGACGAGAATGAAGTGGAGTTGATTTCAAGAACAGATCTTGATGCATGTTATAGGACGTATAGAGATGTTACTGGTAGTGACCCTCAACCTGACTGTGACCCTATGATGGAACAAGTTACAGCTATGCGTGTGAAGGTGCTGGAAAGAGATGAATCTCCATATGCAGGCTTTAGTGTGCTGGCCCCGCATGGACGGGAATTGCAGAAATCCATGGAGACTCGCAGCTGACTCCTTCAATCAGACGGATCATAGAAAGGGGTGGATATTCCTGGGCCACCCAATTGTCCCCAGTGCTTCAAGTCCTGGCGTGAGTATACCGTTCTGTCCTTCTTCTGCTTTCTCACGCGCCAAATTCTGCAGGTGATGTCAAACCGGTGATCACCTTTGCCGCCTTGGGGGAATACGCTGACAAGATCTATATGAACTTTGCTCAGGGTTTCCAGAGTGCTATCATCTCATTTGGCAAGCAGAAGACAAGTGTCGTCGTGATGGGTTTGAGCGGAAGCGAAGGATGTTGACCCGAGGACGGCTTGAAGGGTCATTGCCTATGACAATACGCTTCGATCCACAACAGCCAATGGCAGCCATAGGTTGGAGTCATGACATACAGTATGCAGCAAGAAATGGAGAATACGGGGGAAAGCATGTTGTGAGACCAGCGCAGACCTTCCTGGCCAGAGGAGGTGCAGGCAGGAAGATGACACAAGAGGCGGTTGAGAGCTTGTTGGTTGATGGCGAGGTGCTGAAGAATACCAAGGGTGAGCCGAGTCCTCCTGGAGTGCAAGGAAAAGACGGGCGGAAAGGCTGAGACGTGATGAGCCTGGCAAGAAAGCATGGGGTTCTTCTACGTCAGCAGCCGCCGCAGACAATGGATGGGGCTCTTCTCAAAAGGGCAATGGAAAGTCGCAGACTCAACATCCTCGGAAGTTTGGGAGGCCATCTGTCACTACACGTGAGGGTGATGAGATTTGCTACAAGGTTGCGAAGGGTGCGATCAAAGCCTGCAGTGATCCATGCGCGGTCATGTATGCCAGTACTGCCTACAAAGTCACCCGAATGTGCAGTGCCCGAAGCATGACGCGAAGAGTGGCAGCAGGGGGGGTGGAAAGGGCCCCCTGGCAAATGACACGGTGATGATGATGACATGGGGGGCTCTATCTCCGAGAGCGGTGCGGAGGTGGAGCTCAACGACATGCATGGTGATGAAGGCAATGCGAACGTATTGCCTACGAATTCATTTGGTGATGTACAGAGCCAATTTCCCAACGATGTGACTGTCAAGCAACCACGTAAGTTTGTGTTTGGTGAATTTTTTGCTGGCATGGGAGGTTTGTCAACGGCAGTGCTGGAAATTGGTGCAGGCTTGGCTGAGTTAGACAGCATTGAGCGGTTGGATGCATATGATGGCGAATGGAACATTCTGGATGATGAGCGCTTTGAGAAAGGGAAGCATTTGTGCCAAACGGATTTGGATCATGGTCATATTGCACCACCCTGCAGAACACTCACTGAAGCACGTAGGTCTGGTGAACATGGGTCAGTGGTGGTCATGAGAAGTCAACCCTGACGGCTCTTTTGTGTATGGTTCTCACTTCAGCTGGCAAGACGTTTGCAATTGAGAATCCTTTTGCCTCATTCTTGTGGGTGCTGCGTTTGGTTCAAAGACTAATACGCTTCAGAATGCTGAGTTGGTGTTATTACTTATTACATCAATGCTGCTACGGAGCTCAGACCTTGAAACCGACAGGAGTTTTAACAATAGTGCCTTGGATGAAGACTGTGAGGAGCTTGTGCTATGAAGTACGGGCCCGTCGCGATCTGAAGAAGGGGTGGCTGGAAGAGTGTGGAGCTACCTGGAGGAGAAACCGGTTTGGCGCTCTTCTTTACCCGCTGAGTACCCATGCGGTTTGTGCATTGCATGGGCCAAGGCACTTAAGACGTGGTTGTCAACGCCAGGAGTGCTATGGATGGAACAACATGCATTCCATGATGGTGCAGGGCAGATGGAAGAATCAGCTAGTGAGGACGAGTGCAATGAAAGTGGCGGTGGAAACCAACAAAGCGGTGCAGTCTGTGAAGGATCTTCGTAACGAAGAGAATGCACAAGCTGTTGGAGGCTTGCGTAGTGCCAGGTAGTCAGCGCAACGCTCAGCAACTTTGAGGAGGACAGGTGACAGACTGCGCAACGTTCTGGATCAATGCAGGAATGAACAAGTGCTGGATGCCTTTGAAGCTGACGTGCAAAGCGGCATCGATGAGACTTCTGTCAGGGAGGTAAGGCGGCGGTTGTGCGAAGAGTTTGGCGCAGTGTTGAGACCGGAGAGGTTTTCAAGAAAGTTTGTGGGAAGCAGTGATCTCAAGGGCGCTCATGATTGCCATGCGGAGGTTTTGTCTGGTTGGATGAGAGAGGGATTCCCTTTAGGTATCAGCCGGGAAATCACAGCAACAGGTGTTTTCCCCCAGACTGGCAAAGACACTGCAGCAGTTGAGGCATCCAGCGTCATCATGAGCATGAAGACTTGTCGCACAATAACTATGTGAGTTTCAAGGAGGCGGCCGACAAAGGGCAATGCATTCTGGATGAAATGGTGGAAAGCAACCGAGCAGTGACGTACCACTCCTGGCATGATGTGGCTGCGAAGTTGGGAGACGAGATTGACAAAGCTTGGTTGCATTATCAAACAGAAGCAAGACGGCTCTGAGAAGGTCCGAATCACTGTTGATTCACGGAGAAGTGGAGTCAATGGGTTGGTTCACTTGCGTGAACGAGTGGTGTTGCCAAGTGTTTCAGAATGTTTCAGATATTACGTCAGCATGGTATAGGCTTTTGAATGCGCATGGTGGCGCCAAGGATGTTGAGCTCATGAGTGCAGACTTTGAGGATGCCTTCAACATGTTACATTTGCACAAATAATGACGAGTCGATGAGAAGCCCTTGGTTGTAGTGAAAGGTTTGGATGATGAGCGTGGGGTCCCAAGATACTATGTCTTTGAGGTTGTCGTGTTTGGCTTGGCGCCTGGACCATTATTATGGGGGCGTGTTGCGGCAGCAGCAATGCGACTGGCGCCATCCTCAATGTGGCCTGATGAGGCGGAGGTGTCAACGTTTGTGGACGATCCGCTGATCCTAGCAGCTGGCTCGCCCAAGCGTGAGCGAACTTGGACGTTCATGAAATACTGCGTCCTGTGTGGTTAGCTTTGGGGCTGGAGATGTCATGGCCCAAAGCAAGCAGGGGCTTTGGATTGGACTGGATCGCTTTACATGTTAGCGTTGGCAATTTGAAGGGACAGCAGAAGATTGCTGTCAAGCTCATGGAGAACAAGCATCAAGAGCTGATGGAGGTGGTAGAGGAACTGCTGACATACAAAGGAGTTCTACCTCTTGCAAAACTATAACTTGCTGTGGGCATTTTGGGGTGTTACATCTGCAATGCCGATGGCAAGACCTTTCGTTGCCATGCTTTGGGCAGCTATCACACGGCAGCGGATGCCCAAGATATTACACTATTACACGGATCAGAAAAGGGCTTGTCTTTGTGAAACAAGTTGAGCAAGCTCTTCAATGGCTGGCTACGTTGCTGAGTAATTTTCAGAAGACTTGTGGTGGCCTGGCTAGGACGGTGAGGTGGCGCCCAACTGCCCCAGTTGACACATGTTCCCTGGCATGGGTGGTTTTGTGAAGGTAGGACAGCAGGTTGTGGCCTAGTGGCACGGAAAACTACAACCTGAGGATGAAGAGATCTTGGGGGTTGTATCTGGCGATCCTGCATTTCAGAGCGAGCTCGAACTACAGCCCGAGAGTTGGTTAAGAATCCGAAAGCTTGAGGCCCAGGGTCCCTCAAATTCTTATTTTTAAATGCAGGCAAATTTCTACCACAATAGGTCGAGGGTCCCTCAAATTCTTATCACATTCTTAGTTTTGTATTGCATGCATCTGCGCAAATTGGAGCGAGCTTAAACGAGGTAACGAGGTGGAGTTGGCAGATTTGACATGAGGCATGCGAAAAAAATATTTTTTTAGAGCCTGAAAAATTGTTTTTTTGCAAAGCCGGGCTTCTCTGAGTTGCACAAGAGCAGTACGGAAAAAAACAATTTTTTAGGGCCTGAAAAATTGTTTTTTTGCAAAGCCGGGCTTCTCTGAGTTTCATAAGAGCAGCGCAGAAAAACAATGTTTTAGAGCCTGAAAAATTGATCTTTCGCAGCTGCAAAAACCCATCCCTTTGCAGCCATGGCAAAAAGAGAGAGAGAGAGAGAAAGAGAGAGAGAGAGAGAATCAGAAGGCGAAATGCTTTGAAGGCAAGGTTCCTGTAGCCTCAGCCTTGAAGGTCGGAGGTTCGAATCTCGGTGGCGTGCTCTTTGGGCATCTAAAAGGGTGTGTCACCAAGTTATTGGGAAAACAAAGTTTCAGGCCCCCACGTCTATCCACATAAAGACATAAAGATTTTGCGTGGATTGGAAGCAGTCCAAGCATGTGCGGAAAAAAAATCGGAGATTGAAAAAATGGTTTTCTGCAAAGCCTCAGTTTTCTTCAAGTTATTGGGAAAAACAATGTTTCAGGTCCCCAAGTCTATCTACATATATAGATTTTGCATGGTTTGGAAGCAGTCCAAGCATGCGCGAAAAAAATATTGTTTTTCTGCAAAGCCCGATTTCATCCCATAAGACCAAAAGGGGTCACACCATAAAAAAATGAACCGCAAAGGGGAATTACAAACCTCACGTATAAGCAGTAATTCCAGAATTTGGGCAATCCTATTCCAGGGTCCCTCAAATTCTTAAAGTATTCCGTGCTTGGTATAGCTGAAAACATGTAGCCCGCCTTGGATTCGAGCCCCTCAAATTCTTATACAGTGAATTCTTGTACAATACTCAAGCTGTACTTGCAGTGCGGATTTCCTTTAGAGTGTTTCGCGGAACTGGTGGTGGAATGTGTTGGACAGAACCTGGAATGTCGGTTGATGGCCTCCGTGGTTGTTTGCCACAATGTCTTGTTTCTGGTTTTGATGTCGATGCTTCTTCTTTCTTCTCTGTCACTGTCTTTGCCTTCTGATGCTCTTGCATAATCTGTCTTGGCGTTGTTGCTTTGGGCATGCTGCCTCTCGATGCTGATGCTTTTGGTTTGAACCATGTTTCCCCAATCCATGCTGATCCTTCGATGATCTTGTTCTGATCCTTCTCCTTCTGTTGATAGTCATCCTCTATGATGATCTCTTCCTTTCCTCGTTGTCTGATGATGGTCTTTCTGTAATCCTCAAGCTGACCTGTGTTGATGGGACATCCATTGTTGAAGGGTGTGAAGAGTGCTCTCCCCAGGCGCTTGTGAATGCGCACGATGTATCCTTGGCTGTTCGTCGTCCATATGTCGTTGTTGCCACTGTGAGGTCTTGGACCTGATGTGTCCATGTGTGTTGGTGCTATCATGGCTCGTTGTTTGCCTCCTTCTTCATTCTTGACGATCAATTGTTGTCCATATGGAAGTGGTGAAAGCTTCAAATTGATGTAGAGTAGTCCATCCTTTTGTGCGATGGGACTCTCAAAGGTCTTTGGATTTGTCATGGTCGATTTCTCACTCATGTTGATCTCAAAGCCTTGATGTATCAGTCGAGTGACTGATAGGATTGGTTGTCTCACATCACAAACGTAGAATGGAATCACGATGTGTTGTCTTCATTGGTTGATGAAGTGAATCCATCTGTAGCCATAAACCCAGATGTCTGTTCCTGTGATGGTTCTCGGGATGGGTTTGTCTTGCTGCTTCATCTGATGGAGTGGAAACGATGTTCCAAACCATGGTGGACAGACGTGGGTTGCTGCACCACTGCCTATCATGATGCTTTCTTCTGTTGCTGGTGGTTGTCCAATCTGGTTGATGGACAAGAGTGTTGCTATGTAGATGTCCTCCATTGCACTGATGGACTGTGCCATGCCTGTTGGTGTTGTCGATGCTGGTGGTGATGACTGCGACGATGCTGCTGGTTGTTGATACCCTTGCTCATATCCTTGTTGTTTCCAATCTTGGTTGTACCATCCTTGATCATATCCTTGTTGATACTGGTCTTGATGCCAGTCATATGATGGGTCATTCTCCCATTGTTGATGCTCATCGTTGCCAAAGTTGTACACTGCAACTCGGCAATTCTTTTTGATGCGGCCTTGTTGCCCACATTTGTAGCATGTGTCCTTTCCTTTTGATCTTCCTTTTCCTTTCATGTTGTTTGGGGTTGATGCTCCTTTGAATGGATTTCTTTGTTGACATGGATTCCCTTGACCGATAGGATGATATCCTCCTTTTCCTTTCCTTTGTTGTTGTAGGAGCTGTTGTATCCTTTGCCTTGATGCTTGCCTTTTCCTTTCTGATGGCCCTTCTTTCCTTTGCCTTTTCCTTTATGCCAACTGCTGTTGTAAGCTGCGCCGATATCCATTGGTGCTGGACCTTGCGATGTTGTGTGCTGATTTGCAGTGTTGGGGCCGTAGCTCTGTAGTTGTTGCATCCTTGAGAATGATGCCGTTGTCCTGTAGTACTCGATGATGATCTTCCTGACTGCATTGTAGTCTCTTGTGTTGGATGCTGTGAGTTGGAGATGCTGCTGCAGAGCTCCCTTTGTCTCGTTGAGTAAGATGGCTATCTTGATGGGGTCTGGGATGGTGACTGTGTTCTCCCTTTCATATCTGTTGACCTCAAACTCCCATGATGCAAAAGCTTCTTCAAACTGATGTTCTTCAAACGATGGTTACAGGAGTTTGGTGAGGTAACCGATGCTTCTTGTCCCAACTGGGATGGAGAACCTTCGATGGATTTGCCTCCATGTCTCAAAGCCGTTGGCGTTGATGCCCGTTTGTCGGCAAACTGTTGCTGCTACTGCTTTGGTCGTTGAAACCAAGATGAACTGGAGTTCTGCTGCCAGTCTTGTCCATAGTTGTCCTTCTGCTGGTGATGCTGCTCCATCTGTCAGGAGTTGATCTGAAATTGTTTGTTGTGATGCGTCTGCTTAGCAGTTTTGGGAATGCTGCATTGGTGAGCCCTGCTGTGAATCGATACTTTCAAATTGGGAGCAGTTATCGTCATATGTTGGTGGTGGGGTTTTGTATTGATGCGTTGTCCTTACTTGTTCCTCTGCCATTGTTGCTGCAGCTGTTGTCGTTCCAGGGATCACTGCTCCGCTACCATTTTGAAACACAAAGGTGATGTGTCACTGATGCAGGCAGTTGGCTCTCTGATGTTTTCCTCTGATGGAACTGCTCGAGGCCAACTCAATGATGACTCAAGGGCCCTGATGAGCCCAGATGCCATGGACATTCGATGTGTCTCCGATACACCCTGCATGATGTACATAAGGACGCATGTATGTTAACAGGATGGATGGATGGATAGATAGATAAATAGATAGATAGATAGATAGATTCCATGCAGGGGACAACCCTTGCGTAGCCAAAAACGGCTTGCGGGAAAGATTGCCCCCTTCGTTGCGGTCGAGCTGGTTCAGACTGGTTCAGATTAGGTTTTAAATAGATTCAGGAAGGGTTCAACTAACTATGTCAGATAAGATTCAAATAGGTTTCGATCTGGTTCAGGCTGGGTTCAGGCTGGGTGGCGAGATGCAGCGCAAAAAACAAGAACGCCACGCAGTGATGTGGGGTAAAATGAACATTGAAAATGCGCGATGTTTTACCCAGGCTTCGGGCAGTTTTGGGCACTTTTTCCCCGAGGTTTCTGAAGTACTGCGCTGCCACGAAAACATGAGCCTGAGGCAGTGCCTGCCACGCAAGATGATGATACACGTACCAGTACCAAATCAAAAATGACGATTGTTTCGCACAATGAGGCTGTCGGGACCTTCAAAGCATCGCGCAAGTTCACCAATATTGCGCCCGCCATGAAACATGACCGCCGAAACCCACGCTTGCCAACCTTTTAGCAACGGGCGCAAAGTACCGCGGCTGCCATGCGGGTGAAAAAGTGTCGAGTGTCTTGCGCGTATCACGCAATCTCTCGCACCTGCCGCGAGAAACGCACATAGCTTCAAAAACGGACATCGCGCGGATTTTTTCTGCTGCAAGGATCAAACTCAGCCTTAACATTGCTGAGCCATCCGTGTAAGAATTGTTTGGGTGAAAATTGCGTTGAGAAATCGCTGCTCATGCAGATGACATTGGTTTTCATACTGCAATCAATGTTTGTGCAATCTCACACATTTTTTCCGACATTTTATCGCTGCAGGGATTTTGGTTTGGGTAAGTATGCGTGGGTGAAAACCAAAGTAGCTACCACTGGCTACCACATATGTGTTGTTTTTGACGCATAGGGATTTTGGGACTTGTCCCTATTGCATCGGCTGGGATTTCTGCATGTGCAGGTACTCGGCCCTTTTAATTTTTGGGTATCTGCTGGAGTCGTTTCAAAGTCACTTGGCCAGTGTCTAAAATTGAAGCGCCTTGGATTGTTGGAACACGCGGCAAATACAAACAATGAATCGAGATGAACAAGTACAGAAGCCACAATCAGCACTCGAAGATGCTGGGTGCGTGTCAGGTTTCGGTTTGCGATTCATACTACGGTTCTAAAAAATCATACGGGATGTGCTGCTGTGCTGCAAGGTTTTTTAAGGATGAACCCACCAGCTGAGAATGGTGGAAATTTTGAATGCAACTAGGGTTTGCATTCTCGTTTGCTACAACACCATGTTGAAATTGTGGATTGTGGTAGGCCAAGGTGCAACTCAGCTTGTGCGAAAACAAAACGGTTCGTCGCCCCTGCGCAAAAATCCCACTTGCCAAGGTGGTATTGGGACATTGAAGGAAATTTTCCTTACGCCCGAGGCCAGTGGGCGGTGGTGTTACAGCACATCAGACTACGTTTCAGGTAGAATGCGCCATGATGTGCAAAACACATGTGCTTGATTTCCTCTGAGTTTGAGGCTAGGCTCATTGGAAGCGGTTAAAAGCATAATTTAGAAGATGGGAGGTCTTTCCAATTTGGAGAACATCACCATGACGCGCTGATTCCCAAACCAGGGTGAATATGAGACGCAAAGGGCTGAAGCCCCCAAGCGACTGCGAGGTGGAGTCCTGTACGAGAAACCGTCGTCTGTGAAAGTACTAGACCTTGACGCTGCCATGTCCGTCTGCAAGGAGAGGCAAGCTCACTGAACGTCCTAGGCCCTTGCGTGCTTTTGCCGGTGAAAATACGACGGAGATAGGAGAGATGCAGAGAATTGCAGCGACAGCATATAGATTTTGCGCTCCTGCCATGTCTTGCACTGACCCGGCACCTTGTAGAAAATGCAGGACTTCAAGCGGCAAGTTGAAGGTATTACCCACGGTTTCTTCACACGGTTTATGATTTGTGTTTGCTGTCCCTATCGTGCTTGCGAAGTTCGTCCTTTCTAGGTCCTCACTTTGTAGAGCTGCTTCATGCCGGAATAGAAATGAAATACATGTCGTATTTTGTGCTTGAAAACATTTGACAGTGGCGCAGCGCAACCCTATTTGAGTTTTTGCTCCGTGGATGCTTTGTCATTTGATACTTGGATCTCCATTCGTGCCTACCTTTGTTCAATGAAAGTTCTTGCTTCTCTCTGCTGGCACCTTGGAGGGCAAGCAGCCAAGGTTTCGTTGACGAGAATTTCTCTCACTCTGACAGCGAGTCGGACTGCTCTTTTGACAAGTGTCGGCTTCCTTCAAAATGAAAGGGCGTGTTCTCCACCAGACATTTCAGCCGTGAACAGGCTCCTATCCCTTGTAACTCTGTGGCATGGTTCATGTCATGGTGTGCCCAGTTTGCCATGATCCCTTGTAATTTGAATATGTTGTAGTAGCACGATTCATGTATATGACATTATATGACCATTTGTATCCATTTACCAAAAATAGTTGACAGAAGTTTCGTACTAGTTGTTGATAATTAGTGTGAATCTAGTGGTTTTCCTCTTCGTTATGAGGCTGCACGCAACTAAATTCACCAATTCTGCAAGGCAGCGCTAGCAAACCCGCTAGGTTTGCGCTACAGTAGTTATTTTTAGCATCCATGTTCAAAGATTTTTGTATGTGTTGCCGACTGCTTGGTATTCCAGTAGTACCGCACAAGGCGGTGGCGGAAGTTTCAAAAATAGGAAACCTATAGGAGAGGTTGGTTGTTGTGAACCAGGGATGGCAGAGCGAATCCACTGATGGACCGAAAGGTGCTTGAGGTCTCCTCTCTTTCGCTCTCTTTCTCTGACTATCTACCTACCTACCTACCTATCTATCTTCTATGTATCTATCTATCTATCGATCTATCTATCTCTCTCTCTCTCTCTTTCATCTGTCTAT